TCTCCCGGTAAAAATATCACCTATCACAACTCAGCTGCAGACTGGAGGTTTTGGCTTGACCTTGCAGGTTCTCCTTGTAGGTATAAAGCGGCAACATATTTAGGTTTTCTAGTGCTTGTATTTCGATGGGATAAGATCCAGGTCTGCGTGCGTGCCTTCGAAGTGTGTGAGCGACCGCCCTAGGAGGCTGAGTCTTGTCTACGCCGAAGTTAAGAGTATAAGGCCCTGGCGAGCATTGCTTAATGACCAATTTGATACAAAGTATGGCTGGGAGAAAGGTTTCGGTTGAGGAACCTAACCCTGAGCCTTTAGTTCACAATGCATTCGAAAGATAAATGCTCTTTACGGTCTGTCTTTAAATTCTGAACCAGGGGCAGCGGTTTCTAGGGTTTTCTTGGAGGCCCAACATGAGTAAACCTCTGTACTGATCGTCAGCTCTCGTTATTCTAACCACTGAGGTCTAATGTCTTCCGCATCTAGCTAAAGCTGAAGAGCCAGTGAACACGATAAGGTATCACGAAGACGCGTTCCTATATAACAAGTGAAAACTATGGCGATCTTTGGCGACTGTATCCAGAGCGCATTCCAGTAGAAAGTAAGTCAGTAGAAAGTGAGTCACCAGCGCATCGAGATAAGGCATTAACTGAGTTTAATAAATTAACCGTTTGAAATGTTGATCGATTGATAGCTCCAGATCAATGGCACGGGCAGTTCGATTGAGATGACCCCTCCTGAGGACTAGTACAACCATCTGAAGAAGTTGTTGTCCCAAAGGAATGGCAGCGGAAAAACTCATATAGTCTAGCTGAGCTTCTGCATGGGACTGTTTTTTGAGGGAAGTGCAGTATATTGAAGGAAAAAAACACTACGAACAGACAATTCCTGTACGCGAAGCGGTTTTTAAGGAGTAGAAGAGTTATATTTCTGTATGAATGTCTTTTTTATCGCTGATAAAGTCATTCACTTTTACGCACTCGCGGAGATTCTGAACAGTAAGTTGTCCGGACGAGAAATCGACTCATGTATGGATAATCACGAAATTTATTTGGTTTTCCCAACTGCTTGTGCACAGAGCGTCCTTATCTAGTTTGCACCTAACAAATGGACTTGGAGGGATCGGTCTCGTGATACAATCCAACACTGTTGCCAAGCCCACTCGTGACTTTGGCTGTTTCATGTGTTTTCCTCAGCCAAATTTCATTTGTCGGTTTCACTAAGCAGCTCCCTAAGCCTTCACCACTATGGATCCCGGATGGCTTGAATTTTGATAGAATCCTTCCGAGAACACGTGAGATATGTGCGGTATTGGAGATGTTGATGGCGACTTGCCTTTATCGCCCGAAAATTAAAGTTTGCGTCTTTGGCTCTTTTTGCAGAGGTAACTTATAAGAGTAGCCTAGATAATTTCTCAGACGTTTGTGTTGTGTTTCGTATCGAGGCGTCACAAACTGAAGTGGATCAACACAAGGTCTGTGGTTAAGCATAATTACTCTGTACTTTAATCCGATAGCACACGGATGAGAAGCCGACACGGAAAGCTTGTATGCCCATCCACTATAGGAAATTTATCACTTTAAACGAAAAGCAACCATTCAATTTGTCCTCTTTTACCTTTTCTGTTATTCGCAATGAGGGGGTACAATGTGATCCCTCCTGGAGAATATTCTTCATAAGATACTGGTTTTTGTTGCCTTCCGCAAGTATCCATCGAATTTTAGTTGTGGAGATCTTCATTCAACATAAGCTTTGACTCACTTCCGAAGAGGTTGCACTACAGGCTCCGGTTTCAATATTTTTCGCTTTCGTGGGCGTCTACAAACATTGGTTGACCTAATTTAGTTACACTTGTCTTTCACCACGGGCACCGTCAACATAGAAGATGCCACCAGGGCACTTGAGCTGAAATGCTTTCTGGTGGCTACGACCTAGACAGGAGCATTTCTGAAGTTAATGGATGTTACAATCAGGAGCACGTTATTTTGAGTTCTAATGATGGTTCATCAGTCTCACTTGTCTCCCAGACAGTCTTTCATGGAGCGTACTGCTCCCACTACACAGGGTCCAAACAAACCTCAACATGTGGTTTGTCGCGTAGGTTATACGGAACTCCCAACTTGTTTCCAGAAACTTTAAGAAAAACTGTATACCGTGACAAATTTTGCTATCGGCAGTCAGTTCCATCTACTACCGTTTTAGTTAGTCTTGTTCGATTCTTTTGAGGCAGACAAGGGTTTTTGAGTACCGTAGAATGGTTTGAACTAGATACTTAATCACCATATGATGTATGCCGAATGTCAGACATCAAGGCAACCGAGTTTGTTCATGTGGATGTTCCAGTTTTTTGTTATGCTTTTCACATGTTATGTGCTCTGTCGGCAATGGAGCTGGGAAAATACGCACCATTGGTTTCAACGCCCTTCGTAAACATGAGCACACGAAATGCCACATCAAGGATTGGAGAGGTGCCCAAAACGTGAAATGTAAGGATGTAGGCGTATTCCGTATTACTCTTGATATTGTTTTGCTTGGAGACCCTAGGTCGGGTGGTGAATGCGAGCCCAATTTTGGGAACTCAGCCCAGCAGTCAATGCTTCCCATGCTTCATCCACCCCAACGGCATTGTACTGAAGGTAAGGTTTTATGGTCAGATCGAATCGTTCACACCTGTAGCACACAGGTGTGCACACAGCTGCTGTGCAACTCGAAAAGAATGAGGCCAAAACTACTGTCAAGTTATCTAAACCGAGACGGAAACAATCGACCCATTTGGGCTACAATTCTTGGTTGATGACTCAAGCCCTACATCCTGAGCTCCTTGGATAAAATCACTGCTCTCTTGGTAAATACCGTTTGGGGCTGCTCCATACCTCTATACCCGACTATACTTGGTCTAATGAAAGCAACCAACAAGCCACCAATGTTTCCTCGTCCCAGTGAATTGCTCAGGTGTATACGATGTACAAACATCTCTGTTCACGACCATTGGTGATATTAAGTTCTTTTTACGACACTAGTTTCTTTGAAGTTTTCGGATCGTCACTGTGGTTGATCCAGTGACCTTTCCGTTTATTTTCAGCCCACAATGGTGAGAGAACCTTCGATTCTCCCACACGTGTTTCAGTCTACGAAAGTTTGACAACCCATTCGCAGAGTTTGATGCCCGATGTCGTTCCTCGCCATTTATGTCCGTTAGTCATCCCTCCAGTGGTTAAGCCTGTGTCCAGAGGAACAGATGGTTGCTTCTTCGGATTACATTCTATTTTTACGTCATCATCACGTTTATCGACCCCTCGATGCTCTTCTGTTCCACTCCCTGGCTTCACGAATGATCTCTACATCAATTCCCCGATCCCTTCGGGCGCGGATAACTCAGGCGGAGACCGGGTAGAACGTCGATTGTCTGCGACTGGAAGTCGTGTGCGTGCCGGATCATCGTTCACGCCGACGTCTTTGTCACTCCTGGCCCAACGTATGGCGAACATTGGTGATGAAATGGAAACTAGTCATTTAGCGCGAGTGAGTGCGGTAAACTTGCGCTTGTTTTCCCCCTACCACTTTTGAGATTCTTTGGTTGTTGGTCCATTCCAAAGTGGACGTCTTCCAATGTTGTTTAGACTGCTCCAAATTTTGGAAGTTACAGAACTAAAGCTTAGCTGCAAGGCCGTCGTCATTGACGTGCTGAGTGATTTTCAGTCACCAGCCTACTTGTTGAATGGTGGGCTGCTGAACGAAACCGGACAGTGGTAGCACTATTTAGATCAACGGAAACCTTGTTCATTCGTCCGTAGGATTCATTAGGTTTTCTAGCGTGATATGTTTGGACGCCAAGAATATATATAGGATGTGGAAGTTACGCATTTATGAAACCACATTTATGAATCGCCCCAATTAAGGCGTTCGCAATACCAGTAATTACAACCCGTGTTGTGTTTGTAATGTTCTGATTATTATTATAAGATCTTGCTGACAGTAGCTTCAACGCTGTACACAAATCTAAATCAACTCTTGCGGACAAATCAGTAAGCAATATACTGCTTTTCGTTCTGGTTGGAGACCATTATCAGCGCTTATCTTAGGTATACCGCTGACATCGGATTTGATCCGCAGCTGTTGGTAAACGCATTGAACGTTCGGGCAATAAGCTACGACTGGGTTGAACACGAAGACTGCGAAACCCAGACATTATGTGTGCTTGTGTTGACCAGTTGTTCGGGAAACGGTCTATCAGCAGAGGGCTCAAATGACCTGGGCGACTATTTTTCTCTCGTGAGCGGAGTATTTATGGTTTTGTGAATACTTCGAACGGTTGGGAAGAGGGACAAACTATCTTCATTTCTTAAACATGATTATAGTGGGGTTTATTTTCAGACACACTGCATGCTCCGTGTTTCAGCCGACCTGAAATAATGAGCGCTCTCCCTATCGTCTTCGCCTGTCTTGTCGAGCTAGCCTGAGCTGTGCGCGCGCGCGCCGTTGCACCGCCCTCAATTTTCCAGCTTGGTGCAGTCCGTTCTCGGACAGTGCGTAGGCAAAGTGAGTCATGATCCACCGCGTCGGATCAATTCCAGACCGAGTTCCCGAATGTGTGGGTCTTCCTACAGGAACAGTAAATAAGAACATGGGTGGACAAAAACAATCACTACGTCGAACATGTTCCTGCTTTCGGACAATTGTGTGGTCGAGTCGAGAGATGAGGGACGGAACCCAGTTTGGTGCCACCGCGTTGGTGGATTGATTTGAGACTGAATAGCCAGATGGAAACAGTCAAGCAGAACATGAGCGAGTGTTCTGGGCATTACGTACCCTAGAAACCAAGCGGGACAAGTGGCCCAAAAAGAACGATGTTTTCTCCAGATACTCATGAAATTCCCTCAATTTTCATCAAGCATGGACGTTTGTATGTGACTAGCACTCCTGGAAGCCCCAGGGAGCAGTAACTGTGCCTCCTTACCTAAAACGTCTAAAAATACATACCGGAGATACAGGAATATATGTCGACTCGGGTCTGTGGATGCGACTCTGCATTCTATGGATTGACATTACCAGAGTCCAATAGGTCATCCAGTTCTGTGTGTTTTCTCTGTCCTGAAACAGAGGTACCAACTGGAACAGCGCTTAACTATATGGTGATGAGAAATTGACTGCAAAACGGCACAAAGCAAATCCAAACCTTCTAGGGCTTTTTGAACACTCCATATAGGTTTAACTTCACAATAACATGCATTTTCACTCAGTCTCCAATAAGCACTGACACCTTGCATGATATTCAGAAGGGATTTGTAGGTAAGCTGATTGCTTGTTGAATCGATTCATAGCTCCATACGTATTCAGGATTCGATGAACCACCCTCCCAAAGTAGAAGGGAAACCAAATGACTTGTTGGTTAGCAAAGACTGAACGCTGAAAATTCAAAGCATTTTAACCTGTTTTAATGGTTTTTCGACCAATCATACTCCCTCCGTACTAAGGTTTTTAAATAAAAGGGTAGAAATGCGGCGCAGGACAGGACATATCGCCACTCATCCTTCGGTAACGGAAACCACATCACGTGGTCAGTTATTGACTGTCCTATCGAGTGCTGAGAATATAAAATAGCTAGACATCTATCTCAGTGCATGGTAACAGCTTACTGCTGCTCTGAAATGGAAATTGTTATTTTACTTGAAAACCATCAGTCTGAAAAACCTGTTATTATAATATCGGAAATGTCCCTTGATCTGTGACCGCATTCCAAACCTTCAAATTACAAACTTATGCTTCTGGGGTCTAATATCCTGTAGCTTTTTGAAACCCTTAAGTGAATATCTTTAATCTATTGATTACTTCAAGTAGCTTGATTCTGCATAACCTCTGAGTGCATTGTGAAAAATGCACACGTTATTGAATCTCGAGCAATATGAGTCGATCTGCATCATTATTTGCCTCAGAACCAAATCTCTGGGGTCACCTTCACACAAAAATTGTGCACGCAATCTTGCTTTATGTTTATAGGACCTAATCCCCTCTACCGACCGGAAAACTTAAAACCTCTTTCACCTAGACTTCTCGACGGATTCGCGGGGTATAGAAAGCGGCTGCTCTCATACCTCTTCATCGAGGGGCCATTTATTCCATCTTCGTGGCAGGAAACCTCACAAGACATCTGGCAACCCGTTCCAGTAGGTGGCATATTGTCACTTCCTGGAAGTTCTGCCTAGCTGAAGCTATTGATTGTTTTATATGCTGGGCTCGCGTTGATTGAGGTTCTCAAAGTATACTAGAATACCAGTAATGACCACTTACCCCTGTGATTCTCCGGTGTACTCATTTCAACGATTATTGGTGTGGACAGGTTATCCTAATTTTTTCAGGGGAATAGGAGTTTTACTCGTTTCAGAATACCTACTTGCACACCTAGGGAAAATAATGAATTCCTAACAGTTCTGCAACATGTTCATTTACATCCGTTAAACCTGCTTCATTATGTTGAAAGCTTGCCAGCCAACTCTTACTCAAATCCTTGTGGCTCAGGAATATTGAGCAATTGAACACAATCCAATCATACGTCGATTTAGATGATAGCATCAGCATGGGTTGATTTTGTCCCCGTTCATTCCTCCTCTAAGTTTGCTCGCAACGTTAGAATAATAAACTACAAGTGCCTTGTAATAGCTTTCTGTCTTATTACTCAATGAGTCTCATTTCCTTAGAAACGTCATGAGCCCGGGAATTAATCTAGAAGAAACCTTGGTTCGCTTCCGGAAACTTTCATTTCATTAAGCAGGATCCCTGCGCCTTTTTCATTGTACAAACAATTGCCTCGGATGCCGTTCCGAATTCTGCACTGGGTGTTCGAGTTCGCTTGACTGTGATTTGCTCGGCTCCTGATTGACTCGTAACCAGCTTGTGTCAGGTGACCGGTGTTTCTTTACAATGTCTCGATTACTCGGCTGCATTGCTGACATGCAAATCAGACTTTCTGACTGAATGACATTGGCTTGCGTTGATCTTCAACTAAAGACTGTAAAATGCTGGGATTCATTCGGCTGCAGGCTTTGAACCGGACTCGGATAGTTGTTGGCTGGATGTGTTGCCTTGCAAGCCCTGAATCGCCTCCCACCCCCACAGTGATTGTGATCTCGAACGCTCTGTAATAGTTGTTTGTCTTTTTACTGAGCAGTACACAGTAAGTAAGCCTTCTTAGAAGAATTGTTGTGTAGAAGTTACTTTTATTGCTATGGATAGGTACCACTGAACGTGGTAGCTTTCAAACACCATCTCCCTCCTAACGACGGGAAGGCCTCTTGTTATGATTTCACGTTATTCAGATTCGTCATTTGTTGAATCATAAATGGGGGGTATTACCGATACTATCGGAAGAATTATTACTGATTGTCAAACACCGATTTCTATGGATATACTGTCTTTTATTGTAGGTTTCCGTTTTCGCGAACCTTTCTACCTAATATGACGTTACCCCTACCCGTCTACAGAACACTATGTTACCTGTTTGTTTAATTTGCGCAACCGCTGAGCCTCCAATCACGCCCCAGAAACTTTTCGGGTATTTTCGCCCCACATAATCGTCTGACCAGTGTGTGCGAATGAATATTTTCAAAATTTCTACAGTTTGTCGGTTGTTAAGAAACGCACAAAATGTCAGCCATGAAGTTAAAGGTACTGATAAATTACGTGGATAAGACTAGATACGGCGACCATTGAAACAGAGTCCCAACAATTGTCCTTTCTTCCCAATATTTACTCGTATCTGCTGGTCTATACTGTCAATAATGATGACAATGATTTTAGCTTCACGAGGTTGTACTTCCCATTCCTTGTCCGCATTGGTGAAGCGTCTTTAGATGTTATGAGGATTTCAATGACCAGTCCATTAGGATTCAACATGCTCATTCCTTTAAGATTTTTGCATTTTTCTAGAGCTATATTTCTGACGAATATTCTGATGCAGAACCATAGCTCGATGATGTATGCTAACCACATTTCCCACCTTTAACTTTCAACCACTGTGTTTATTTTCGCTTACAGCCCGCCGGTACCCTGTGGAATTCTTTGCGCAGAGCGACTCATACGGCCCATTCAGTCTGGAGCTTATCGTCAAATCTCGTTTCTCTGGTGACCTCCCCGCTGGAATGTATGAACAGAATTTTTCAGTTTGCAAGCCGGTCGACCGCGTCCTCGATAACAAGTGCATCTGTGCGCGCAACCAACTTCCACACCATTCAATACGGACGGCGAAGAACAGCTACGTATACCGCTGGAACCAGTAATGGTCATCAAAGACACTCTGCTTCGTATCGACTTAATATCGACCCTGGTAGTTTGATTTCGCCCCATATGCATCCAGCGACCACATCAACCACTATGCGGTTGCCGATTCAAGCTTCCACACCCCGCCATAGGCTACACATCTCTACTGACACGGCAGTCTCCAGTCCCCACTCACTAAACCTCCCGCGCCCTGATGATTCTAATATGGATGAAGAGGTATTCATCTTCGATCACGAATAGGGGATCGGTTTATCACAGTCCACTCTTCCATATGTCCAGTTTCCACCTTGTCATCCCAAGACATTGTTTATACGCGCGTTCTTATTAATATTACTATTATTATTACTGGTACACTGCTATTTTCACACACCCATGTAGTTTCACCTTAACCCTCGAACTACCCCTCATTGCTCAGTGCCGCTCTACTTGCAGTCTGTGCCTTTGACGCTCCCAGGAACATCATCCTGTTGTCGCGCACTGATGATACCAGCAACACGCACTCTGAAACACTTCCTTCATGATTATTACGTACGTTCAAGGTTACCGAATTGACCAACAAGTGCCCTTTGCCCATGTGGTTAGGTTTTCATTGATTTTAGGCATGAATTGTTTATTACGAGCCAATTCCATCCTATCTTTTTCTTAAACACTCACAACAATAAGCCAACAATTTATTTGTCTTTGCAGTCTGTTTAGATTGGTCAGCTACAGGTCGACCAGCCCATCTGTGTGACAGGTGGATTCGAGGTGCAACTTGAGTTGGATTCCCGCTTAAGCTTCGGCAACTGCGAGATGTGAAGACACAATTCTTTGCAAGGAGAAAAAAGTAGGCATAGCCTGAAATTTTGAGCAACTAACACGCGACGTAAGCACCTGCACTGCTAAAGTGTCCTCTAGTTCGTTTAGGATGAATTGTTGCTTCCAAATAAGATCTTTGCACGTAACTGGTCGTCGGGGGTGTAGCTCAGCGGTAGAGCGTTCGCTTTGCATGTGAAAGGCCCCGGGTTCGAGCCCCGGCACCTCCACCCAGCTTTTCGCCTTGTGGGGGTGTAGTCAGCGGTAGAGCGTTCGCTTTGCATGTGAAAGGCCCCGGGTTCGAGCCCCGGCACCTCCACCCAGCTTTTCGCCTTGTGGTCAGGGGGCTCATTTGTCCCTTACACCGGAGGGTACCTGTGCCGTGTCACCGGGTCGTTGTACAAACCCCCCAATGTAAATGCCGAATGCTCTCAGCGTTCACCGCTGTCAGTGCCGGTGTTCAAGCTCCAGATCTCCGCGTGGTAGTGTTGAACAGATTGGTCGATAGTCGCAAAGTTGGCATAAAATCTCCTTCTTGGAGAAGCTCAAGTGTGCGATCCAGTTTAGCAGGGTTTAGTTGGTTTTCCTATCGGCTCTTACCGGTGCAAAATTATTATTTCCTGCATCCACTTCCGACGCGTCCGTCTTTTTAAATCATTTGAGCCAAGCTACTCACGAGTAGCCACACGGGTTTAACTGACTTTGTGTGGCTCTGGCCGGAGCCGTTGCACAGCAGATCGCCCTGGAGGGCGGGAACAAATCATCACTACCCTACTGACGCATCGAATGGAACGACTTTTGGGGGGAACGAAAATCGGAAGTAGTGAGAGTGTACTATGAGGAAGCTGATGAAAATTAGATAAAAGAAGAGTTCGGGTGCGAGGGAAGTGTACATCGAAAGAGGTACCAATTCGTCTTAGTACCTGTATAAATCTATTTGCCACGAGCGTTTAGACAATATTTTAATCGATTATTCTCCACTCCCATTTCATATCAACTACCCACTCGATTTCAGACTTATCGGTTTTCACACGTTTGTACATTTGGTGTGTTAATATGTCTTGAGATTCCCCACTCTGGGTTGAATCAGGGATGCAAGTTTACTAGTTTAATATTTTCACATAACCGAACGGGAACCAATCCTTGGTGAAGTTGGCGATGTGAGCCTGTGGTTTGCTCTGTGGAGGAATACTATGCCCTGCGTACTTGGGTAGTGAGTAGTATAGTGGAGGAGGATGGTTACACAGATTCTTTACGAAGGTCAGCTGAGAATAGACCCATATAGTTGAACCACTCCACTAATATGGAGTGGAAGTGACTTCATTAAGCCTAGGAGATGCGAAGTTCAAGAACACATGGTACGAACGAAGCGCTGTTCTTCTCACGGGAGCGTTTGAAATCCATTCAATTTTACCCGACGGTTTCTGTGTTTTGTGGAAGATAAAGTTGATTTTAACGAGCCGCACCAGGTCCGATGTTCGTTGTTTGAGGGTCTCTGAGCTAGGCCAGCACGAGCCCTTTTCCTCTTTGTCTAAACTTGAATAAACCGAGATAACTGGGTCTAACAACAAGAAAAAAACAGAACTACTTCTTGGGTCTCGGAAATCATGAAATTGTACTGTTTCATTCTATCCCTGAGCTTCGATCGATACTTAAACCGCGGAAGTTCCAAACATTTGTTGAAGTACTTACCACCTCACATCAAGCCGATTAGGTAAGAGGTCATTGAAGTCACGGGATGGTGTATCAGTTGTGCTTATGACAAAAAACAGGGTTATCCAACCGTCACTCCTCCATCGACCCTTTTTTGTAACATTCAATTGCCACCCCTCTTAAAAAAATCGTCTCATCATAAGAATGAGTACACAGAACCAACCATATTACGACAGGGAGTAGGGCAAAAGAACACAAAGCCTAGTAGTTAGCGATCTGAAGGCATGGAATGACCATCATCACATGACGTATTTTGCGTGACGACTTAAGGATATGTCTTAGCCGCAGGAGCTTTTGCAAGCTTCTTTAACAAACTCTTCTTCAGCCCACTCCCAACGTCACATTTAAGCTCCCGTTGACCTATCAGCAGCAAAGTGATTGCCTTGTTACCTTTCGGGAAGTGGTTCAGCCATTTTGAGAACTAGGTGTCTTCGGTTCTCGCGGATTTGTTTCCTAGATAAAAGATGACAACATGCCTTCAAACGAGCAGGATGAAGTGGCTTATCCTATAAATGAGGGACACTACCAATCAGAGACGAAAATAGGAAGATTTGGCATTTGGAATAAAACTGTTACTCGATGCCACTCAAGGTATATGGGTATTCGCGTTCACTTCGTCTCAATCAATCATATTCTAGCTACCACGCCTTATTGGTATGAGGTGGGTACTTCACCCGATTTTTACGTCGTTTGGTTGCCCACCTAACTGTCAGTCCAGCCAAGCCTAGGAAAATACTCACTGTAGATGATATCGTTCTGGGCTGAAACCCTGCGATGACAGCAAGTGACTGCCGATGCCTTGTTAATAAATTCAGGGTAGAAGCTAAAAAAATTCCCCGGCCAGGAACGATTAGATGCTCGCTCTTGCCTCCATTTGGGATCAAGAGGCGTTCCAGTCATACTGACCGATCCTTCGCATCGACGAACGCGAGGTACCGAGTAGAAGTGACTATCTATAACAAGATTCGTTCCTTCACTAGCTGTCAGAGTATCAACGTAGGCCTCTGGTGAGTGCATGCATAACCTTCCAGATATGACCTGTGCCGCCATCTTATTAATCCATACGTCGCCTTGATGACAAATCATGGAAAATGTTTGCTTCTGGTGAAAGGAAGAATGCCTGCAGTGCGGGGTTGGTAACTGAGTAAGCAGGGAAAAGCTGACTGAGCGGTTGGCACAAAGGCATGGATTTCAACGAATCCATCGTTTTGTCGTAATACCAGTTCGTACACATTTGATGTTCACTGAAGTATAAACAGGTATGCGAAAAACAGGTGACTACTTTTCTTCGTTTTCAGATATTGTCTGAAAAGCAAACACAATAAGATAGCAAACTGATGCAGTTGGAGAATTGCCGTCAGCTCCAAATTCGTAACCATGAAAATAAAGCAAAGTTCCAACCATGAGCTACGAGTATTCAGTCTGTGGTCGACACCACACGTACAGTCTCTGTGGTTTATTAGCTCATTTTCACAATCATGCACACAAAAGACATTTTAACTAGTCGATTTCCCTTGATACGGTGACCCTCTGATGAGACCGCATAGCTGTGCATGTTATCGTAAAATATAGATCTACCTCTACTCCGAACTACTACCAGCTCTTCGATACTAGCGAATTTGCATGTTTTTATACCCGTTTTAGAGTAAGGATAATATAGGATTCAAAAGTTACTTGAAAAAAGGGCACTCTGAGGGGGAAAATGAGCTCATACAATAAAGCAGAAATGAAAAAAATGCCAAAAATACCAAGTTTTCTCATGCAAAACGAAAAAAAGACAAATGTCCCCGCATGTCAGGACGGAGAACACTGGTTCCTGATGAAAAGGCTCCGGTCGGATCGTTTCATTTACTGTCGATCTTCATTCCTGTAGCTTCCGCGTGCACCACGAACCAGTAGATGTGTATGAACGAGAGAATTTGGAGGTTTCCTCCTCTGCTCCACTGCCCCTGTACTGGGCGTACGGACGGCAATCATGTGTACATACCCCCACACAGTCACTCGTGTGCTGACCTACGTCTACAGTCCATATCCCAAATGAACCAATCAAGCTGTGGTCTTATTGATCGCGTGTGTTTTATCGGTTTAGCAGAGTAGATGTCCCTCGTATATACACGTAAACACAGTATGTGTATGCACATGCAGGTAGTCAGGTACCGGTCTGGATTTTCTCCTCGTGAATCCTCTTAACAAACTACAAACAGGGCTCTAAAAGGACACTGGTATTTGATCTTCCTCTTATCCGCTTACCGCTTAGCATCTGTTGATGTGGGCGAAGCTCAGAAAAACGGAACAGGGTTAAATCTGCACCTGTCCACTAGATTTTGGCGTCTAAAAACTAAACGTTCTATGAAATTTTGTCTTTCGAAGAAGATCGGAGCATATCAGCAACTCAAATCTGTCCTTTTGACCTAAGTTACCACGAAACTGCAGTTACGAATGTCCTCTGCTTTCAGTGTATGAAGTCTGTGAGTGAAGTTTACCACAGACCTTGGAGTTGCTGTCAAGTACATCTGGTCAGGCGAATAATAAGGTGCTCAACAGCTTTCGAAAAAGTTTGGTGACAATCGGTAGATTTATTGCACAACGTTTCGCTTTTGACACAAAGGCGTCGACCGGCCAAGTGGCTAGGTTCCGAGATTGGTCGAGATTGCGCTGAGGTTTATATAGGACAAACTGCCAGAAAGTTGCACCCCAGAATTGATGAGCATAAAAGAAGGATAAACAAACCACCAAGGAATGCACAAGGATACCAGACGCTGGTCAAAGACTCAGCGATAGCGGTACATGCCTTATACACTGGACATAGAATAGACCTAGAGAATGCGGAAGTTTTAAGCAGCTTTCGAAAAGTTTGGTGACAATCGGTAGATTTATTGCACAACGTTTCGCTTTTGACACAAAGGCGTCGACCGGCCAAGTGGCTAGGTTCCGAGATTGGTCGAGATTGCGCTGAGGTTTATATAGGACAAACTGCCAGAAAGTTGCACCCCAGAATTGATGAGCATAAAAGAAGGATAAACAAACCACCAAGGAATGCACAAGGATACCAGACGCTGGTCAAAGACTCAGCGATAGCGGTACATGCCTTATACACTGGACATAGAATAGACCTAGAGAATGCGGAAGTTTTAAGACAGGGACTGCGATTCACACCAC